GGGGGGGCGACGGTGGTGCATAATGCTGCTCTTGGTTTTGTTTGATGGAGAGACGATACAGCTTTCTTCTACTTCACGTGAAGTAGCGGTGATCTATCGGGATATCCATGTCATGCAGAAGAAGACCAAAGTCTTTTTACAACGGTTGCTAACGAGGTTTATCCTATGTTAGTGAAATCGTGTTATTAAAGATCGGCTGTCATCGTATTTCATTCGTCCTCCATATGTCCACCAACTCCAGAACAAGAAGATTGATTGGATGTAGGAGGAAAGACCTTGGTTGTCGCAGTGCAGTGGACCGTTGACTCATCTGACGGCGTCACACTCTGGCTAGAGGTAGAAGATGGGATCCTACATCATGGCAACTTTAAACGACATAACCAATGTGACTTATGAGAATAGCATGGTAGCAGGAGCAGGATCCGTTCACATCAACTGAAGGCAGTTAAGGTTAGCGTTCTTATCATGAGCTTACGTATGCATCTATGACTGCGCCGCACTATCGTCGGGGATGCGTATCCTTCCTTCATGACCACTTCGACCTTGAGCGTTTGTTCGGGGATTGTCTGAGAAGCGAAGGATGGGCTCTTATATTAGTCGCTTACGAACAGTCGAGTAAGAGTTGAATCATTATTCGCTTTCCGTACATTGGATTCATGCCCTTACCAGCCGTTTTGTTATCGTACTTCTGATGAAATTAGTCCGGATGTTCTTTTCGGTACGTAATGAGAAGCAATGGAGATCAAATGCATCTGATATTTATCTAATGCTCCTGTGATGGTAGGCTATACGACTTACAAGGTTGTCAAGGTCAAAGATAGATATTTGGGACTCCTATATTACACATCTGTGATATGCATTTTTGCATATATCATCTATAGCATATTTGCGCAAGAACTGTATCTGAAAAAGTCTCCACCTGTAGCTGGTAGGCTGCCAGTCAAAGTGTTACGTGCTTCCAAATAATCTCCTTAATTACGCTCTAGGGTTTGTTCGGGCGAGTGCGAAACTCGACGTCAATTTGTCCGCACCTTTACCTTCATACTGCAACATTGCACCTCCGGTCACTACCAATAACATTTTCAAAAACTGTTTGAGATGGACAGCTCAGCAGATTGTCTTTCCCTATGATGGCGAACTCGAAAGTGTGTTCCTCACAACACGGGTCACAATCGCACGGACACCCACTCCGTCCGCGATGTCGTGCACCGACTTTGAGACCGCGTGTCGTCCGCCAACGTATGATGAATTACTGATGCAAACAAACACTACCGTCTCCACCTATTACATTGCCAACGTCGAAAACGTGACCCTTCGGGTTGACCACGGTGTCCGGGTTCACTACGATTCATCCTTGCTAGGTCTCGGATCGCGCGCTATACCCTCAAAAGAAATGGAAGGAAGAATGTTGAAGGGCTGCTCAGGAAATGACAAGAATTACTTGTCTCATTTAAATTGGGATCAAGATTATCGGAGGGATAGTAATACCTCAAATCATCTGGACACTTTTTCCATCCGAGATTTGCTTATTAGCGCAAACTGCGATAACACGGGGGCAATGATCGATATGGAGGGACCAGCTACGGCGGATGGGGCGGCAAATGGCGAGACCTTGCGAAATTCTGGATTTGTTATATCCAGTAAGTACTCATATGGTTCGTTCGCGTGGATTCGGCGGTATTCTTGACTTTATGGTTTCTACATAGTACCCATCGTTTATCAGAATCGCGGCGACTTCCGAAAAGCAGAAGAAATAACATATCGTTATATCCCCGCCCAAAGTGAGTGCTCCACACCCTTCTCCCTATCGCAAACCTTTCTTGAAGTAACCTTGCTTCAATTCAACCGTAGTTGACGGTACAGAATTCAAAGTTCTTGAAACAAAACATAACCCCGACGGGTCTCTGACATACCTCAACCGGCACGGGATACGTCTCGTATTCGACCAAGCTGGCCAAATTGGTCAATTCGACATGATCGCCCTCCTCACGGCGCTCGTGGCTGCCATGGCGCTTCTCAGAATTGCAACACTGATTGTGGAGGTTCTCATGCTTACGGTCATGCCACAGCGAAATCTGTACAGTCAAGCAAAATTTGAATCAACGGAGGACTTTTCTGATATTAGAGATAGGTTGAGCGAGAAGGTTGGCAAAGATGATTTAAAAGTAAGGACGACGCAGCCGCTCTCCGGTAGGCCGGATGACGAGCCCGACAAGAAGGTGGAGGATATTGACATTGGAGCGGCAATGGGTCAGCTGTATGGGCCGAACAAGGTCTAAGATGTTGTGATTAATTATTCAGAGCCTTTCGAATTATCGTTATTATTTTGAACCAAGGAAGCATGGAGGTTGTCAGCCCAGTAGAGGTCGTCTAGTAAAAGGATAGAAGTTTATGTCACCTGTAAAATTGTGGGTAATAGAGTTGGCAGTAGTCGCTGGGGTGGAGCGCAGGATGGAACACCAGCGCAATAAATCGCGTCCATGTTGATGGATGCTGCAAAGCAATTTGAGGAGAGTCTTGCCTATTCCATTGCTGAGTTCTCAGCAAAAGCTGCTCACGGCGGACGATCATATGCTGCTTTCATCCAGATGGATGCTGCGCCGTGCATACGCATACCCTGAACCCATAGATGGAAAGGAGAAGTCCTCGCCTAGCTTGTTAACGTGTTCGACTTGCAACCATTCCGTCATCCAGGGCATCCATTTGTATTTAAGTTGGCCTTTAATTGTCAGGTATGTTCTCCCACTCCGTTTTCCTTGAACTGGAATATCTTCGATCCATCAATAATACCTAGATTGGAGGGCTACAACCCTTGTCGCTTCTTAAATATTTAGAGGTTACGAGATGGCCTACGAGCATTTTCAAAGGGTATACCCTATTTCACGAGGGTCGGAATTAATTATCCGATAACTGAGTGGCCCCAAAGTTCGGCCCATCGTTTAGGTTGGATGTAGTGGCACATATGCCATATGCCATTCTGCTGCCCTGCTACATCGTAACCAATCTAGCCCTTACTCCGCCCATCTTTCCGGTCCATAACATCAGCAATTTGAAGTGAGACCAAGCCACTCCTTCTCCCTTCGTATCATGCTCTCCGGAAGTGATTCCCGCCTTCTTCAGATATCGGTTCTCATCTGGCCCTTGCAGTACTTGCTCGGGTCGTGGGACAGAGCGCTCCTTGTTGTATGTGCCATATGCCTATTACTGGAGTCGCAGAAAAGAAGCCGTGCTGAACGACTTGTGCAGGATTTGAGGGATGTGGAAAAGGTTGTTCTGTTCGTATGATGACTTTAAACAGAAGTGATGGGTGAACTGACAGTGTGTCCGGTTTTGCAATTAGTTACATCGAATCATTGTAGACGAGTGTCCAGTTTGGATGGTAAGTATCGTGGTAAAAGCGACCGATCTATAGCTCATTCTGGACTTCACACCCATAGGGCATATCCGCCATCCTGGAAACTGTAAAATGCGAGGCGTACCCTCATAAACCGTCACCCGGGTGCGGATGCCATTTTGATATGATGCACCTGCATTTGAATAAGCGGGGCATGAAACACTGTGGGTTTTGAGGTGGGCGTGCTGAGGATACTTCGACACCAGGCCACTGAGCTGTGGTTTTCATGTAGATGGAGCGACCCATGAAAGTGAGATATTTCAAAAGTCTATGGTGAAAGATTATAACCGAAGGCAGGAGGATGTCGGTGCGTTTACTCGTTGCAGAGGTCTTTCCCCCAGTGTCGGTTTATGTGAACGGTTGACAATTGCAGATTTGGTTGCTTTGGCTTTCAAGAAATCAAAGGACACCGGTCAGACTGTGGAATTTGAAATGCATCTCGAGGTAAAATATCTCCTATTCATCGCTGACATTCAGGCAGCTTATGGTTGGTCGAAAGGTTCACCTTACCGCGGATGGTAATTGGACCAGCAATGCGGAACCTGGAACAAGATCGTCCATACGGCATATTGTCTTCACAGCTAGTTATGTCGGCCATCAGGATGGCACGGAGAGATATTTGTATAGTAAGCTGCCGAAACAAAACCGTTTCGCTCTTGTGTGTCTGATCTGACATCGTGATTCCGTGATATTTGTCCAGTATGTAGAGACATTTCCGAAGAACGGGAATACATTGATTCTCTCAAAGCAAGTGAAGCGCGAACAGGGTTAATCTTGAGCACCACTGACGATGGTTTGTGTTATTTCATTCGTTCATTAATATTCAATACTCGCTTCAATGGCACTCGCATTTTAGGTATCTATGAAATTTACTCAAACCAGATCATCAACCCCCTTTCGCTGCGTATGTACGAGCAACTGGGATATACAAAGGAAGAATTTTGCCGTCTTGTGGGGACAGTGCCCGAATTCATGAAGCTGTTGCATCCAGACGGTCTGTTATTAAGAGTATGGTTCTCGGCAGTATTGTACTGAAATTCGACAACATCCGTCATTTTAGATGTGTCACTAGCAGAAGAAACCTTGCGAGAAGTTTTTGACGGTCGTTTAGAAAAGGTTAGACTAGAGATGCGAGTGCAGTGCAAAAGTGGCGACTATCGTTGGTTGTTAAGTCGGGGACGGGCGGTGAAGTTTGATGAACATGGTTTGCCCACGTCTCTGGTCTGTAATCAAGCCCAGGCACTTCTCCGACAAGCAAGATGGAACCTTACCATTCACAGTGCGTCTCTACAGATAGGATCAATGACAAATATACACGAACGCAAAACCGCTGAACTGACACTGGTAGAAAGGAACCGACAACTGGATTCAGCTTTGCAGCAGGCGGCGGCGGCAGCACAGAGCAAGGCGGAGGTGAGGTTAGCTCTCTCTGCGATCACATTTCACCGCTAATCTTCCAATTTGTCTTGTCCACACAGTTCCTCGCTAATATTTCGCACGAAATTAGGTAAATGTGCCATCGGATCACCATGTCAGTGTATTGTTTATTTTGACACTAACTTCGGTGCACCCCTCTATTAGGACGCCGCTGAACGGCATTATTGGTCTCGGCAGCATTCTCTGGGAGACTCCCCTTACGCATGATCAAAAAGACCTCCTAAAATCGATTCGCGATTGCGCGGATGGTCTCTTGCTCATCGTCAATGATGTAGTGAGTATAATGGGTTTTAGCCTTCGGGTTCAAGGACTTTGGTGCTGATGCTAAGGAACAAAAAGTTAGACTTCTCCAAAATCGATGCCAATAAGATGGCCCTTGAAAATCGCCCATTCGATTTACTGGGATGCATTGACAACGCCATTTATCTTTTGAATTTGCGGGCGAGCGAGAAGGGAATCGGATTATACAGCCGCGTTCGGGTAGGAACTCCGAGGTTCTTGTGGGGGGATGGAAATCGATTGAGACAAGTGCTCATGAACATCATTGGGAACGCAGTACGTTTGGACAATTATCCTGTGTGATTGAACGTGGGGTGCTTTGGTACTAAAGCCAATATAGGTGAAATTCACAAACCACGGCGAAGTAGTAGTCAACATTGACTATGATCATTTGGATTCAAGCCGCTTTCTCGTCCACTTTCGGATTAAAGACACTGGAATTGGTATCCCGGATGATCGTCGACACCTCCTATTTAAACCATTTTCGCAGATTGATAACTCGACATCACGAAAGTACGGGGGAACAGGACTGGGGCTCGCTATTTCGCAACGACTGGTTCAAATGATGGATCCCAACTATGGCAAACTGACTGTTGAGAGCCGGGAGGGGCACGGAAGTACGTTTTGTTTTTCGCTAGAGATGAGAGTTTGTAGTTCGGAAGAGTCCGCGAATATCACAAAGGAGGAAGTCAAAGTCCAGCGAGAGGCGGCGAGATTGGCCGAGAAGTTTCCGATGAGTATATTAATGGCGGAAGACAATCCTGTTAATCAAAAGCTATGTCTACGGATGTTACAGGTAGATCAAGGTGAATGAGTATCTGTATGACCGACTATTGAATGATGTTCTGGTTATTTCAGAGGTTAGGCTACACAGCTGACATAGCAGGCAATGGTCAGGAAGCAGTCGACGCATGCAAAAAGAAGAAATACGATCTCATTCTCATGGTATATTGTCGAACATCTGGACCTCCATGTAAATCGCAAGACTCATCGATCTTTTCGCTCACCTCATCAGGACATGCAGATGCCTACTATGTCTGGGGTTGAGGCAACACGTCTCATACGTAGCGACCCGGACATTCACCAACCAACCATTTATGCCTTAACTGCCAATGCCAGGGATACAGATAAGGATCTTTGTATACGAGCTGGAATGGATGGACACATCTCAAAACCGTTTAAAGCCGAGACACTTATTGAAATGATGGAGCTTTGTGGGAAGGAGGTGTTGCGAAGGCAAACCCTGGGACTATGAGGCGGATGTGCCTGTGCCAAACAAGTTGCATAGAATGCTGGAGTTTAATGTTTTTAGTTTTTTTTATCTCAAGTTGCCAATTTTTAATGTTTCTAATCGTAGACTGAT